CCCCAGATGTAATCGCACGGACGGCCCAGATTCAATCAAAAAACGGACGGCCCCATATTAAATCAAAAATGGACGGCTGAGATCAAAAAGGCAAAAGGGTATAAATAAGACCCCCACACCAGACCACAAAACCCTAGCCGCCTGCCCTCGCCGGAGAAGACGAACCAGAAGCCGGCCGCCGCCACCCGCCGCCGCACCGGATGGATTTCTGACCGCCGATCGAGGTAAATTTCATACCCCGACTCGTTTTTCCACGCTGATTTCCCCTGTGGCCAAATCGGAGCCAAAATCCTGGCCAAACGGCCGAAAAATACGGCCGAAACCCAGCGGCGCCGCCGCGCCCCTCCTCAGTTTTTGCCTTCGATGAGGCCCTTCCCGGCCTCCGTTTAATGCAATTTTTATATCACCGTGATCACCATTCTTTTTTCTACAGGTTGATTGGAGCCGAATCACCAAAACACGAACTTCACCGGAGAGCCGCCGCACCCGAGAGCACCGCCGCCGGTAAGCTTCGGTTTTCTGTAATTTTTTGGCCCCCCGAGGGCCCTAGAGTTGTTTAATCGCAAGGATAGATGCAAGTGTGGCCGAATTCGGCCGAAAACGGCTGAAAACGGCCAAACCGAGGCGAATCGTCGTCGCAAGCCGGAGCACGGCGGAGCCGCCGTGCCGGAATTGCGATATTGGCCAAAAAGGGGCCCTGGACCTAATTTGGGATTTTTTGGGACATGTGCAGGTACCAGTTGTGCGTTTCAGTTCCTCGAGAAAAAATTCAAGGAAAATTAGGGATAGCCTGTAGGCGCACTGTGAAGCCGTGTTCGGACCCCGAAACGAGTAAGGACCCCTCACCCTATTTCTTATCACGGTATTAAAGTTCAATAAATGATAAAATGGTATTTCATGAATCAACGAATGTGTGAAAGTGTTTAAGGTCGCTAATGGAGCCCGAGTCTAGTGTGTTGGTCGATTAACTGTTATTTGACCTGTTTTACAGTTTTAAATGCAGTATGAGATTTAATGTTTTTATTTTATAGTTTCGTGTGCATATTTTATCATTTTATTGATTATGGATTGAATGATTGGGATATTGATGCTGTATGTTGTCTGTTTGGCATAAATTACTGTTTTGCTTGTTTGTATGTGGATTGATGATGCTGACTGAGGAAAAAGAGAATGAAAGATTATGTAAATGGGTAATCGTATAATGTGGTCAGCCTGACTAGATATCCTAGGAGATGGTGGACGGACCAGGTCCGTAAGGAACCCTACCGGGATTGTAGTCTCCCATACCGGACGGGGTATGGAGATCTTATGTGTTTTGGCGCCCATACCGGACGGGGTATGGGGACGACCCTGAAATATGATTTCAAGTGTTAAGGGTTAACGGGTAGCGGGACTCCTATGGATCCCCATAGATACTAGTGGGCTGGTAAAAAAGGAAAAATATGTTGTGTAACGATTGAATTACAAAAGGCTTGATAAGTATTATGTTATACAGTTTATACATGATTTCATGATGATGATAATGTTATTGCTTTCGTACACTGTTTTATGAATTCCACCGAGGTAAGTGGATGGTGAAAGATTTATTATTGATAAAAGAATTTGTTGTAAATTATGCTCCATTGGTCTTTTTGTGTTTTTTACCCACCTTTACCTCCGTGACGGTGAGATATCGTGATGTCTTTACTGGGCTAGTGTAGCTCATTCCTTATTTAATCATTTCAGATCAGGAAGACATTGTTCCCGAGCCAGTTCCGCATGAGGACGACGAAGGGGACACCTAAAGACTCCATAGTCATATTCGTAGCTTTTACTTTCAAGTTTCTCCTTTAATTAGTTGATCTTTTATATTTTGTAAGCACGTTTTTTGTTTTAGTGTAAGAGATGTTAATCCAATTTTTGACTTCGCTTCCGCATTTGATATTTTTAATATACATTTCATTTTAAAATTCCGGGGCCGTTACAATAAAATATTTCTTTACTAAAAATAAAATAATTGGTTGGTATAAATTTTATGCATCATATTTTTAAAATAATTTTAATTTTTAATAAAAATTATATATTTTATTAATTAAATAAAACATATAAAAGTATCAACGCCATTAGAACTTAATTAAATATTAGTAAATTGATTAATTATATTGTTGGCCATCATAATTAATTTAATTAATTATCTTGCAGTCGTTTTCATTGAAGTTGGAGATTCCCAAACTCCCAATGCCATCCACAATTGCTTATACAGTCTTGTTTTATTCTTTACATTTTTTTTTTTTTGCATTTATTTTATTGTTTTATCCTTTAAAAAACAAAATTCTATTTTATTAATAATGTAAAATTTATTACATAATAAGTGTATTATATACTAATGGTTACATAGTTATAATATTTAATTTAATAAAATTAAAAATTTAATTTATTATCATTAAATTTGAATGATTAAATTTTTTAATTAGTATAATGATAATAAATTAAAAAATCTGATTGAATTTATTTTACTATTAAAAAAAAATTATACTAATAAATAATTTAGTATCATAACTTTAATTAGAGTTATTATTCATAATAATTGTTTAACTATTGTGACTGTGAAGACAAACTCAAAATATGTATTACGTAATTATGAGGGTTGGTCCAACTAATAGAAAAAATATGTTCTTTAGTTTAGTTATTTGAATTTATTATATTTAATAAATATATAAAATTGAAATTTATTTACATATTATGTTATCATAAACCAGACACGTATCTACGTTTTTATATATTTTTATTAAGAAAATTATATTATAATAAATAAATATATATATATAGTGTGTAATTAATAAAATGTAGAATCTTTTTGGGGTTAAAAATATAATATTTTTCACAAATTTCAAGACATAAATTTAACTTTAGTTGGCCATTTCTCTTTTTCTTTTTATAAAAAAAATATATATATTAAATATTATATGTGCATAAGAATTGACAAAAAAAGGTAACTGAAAACAAAAAAAAAAAAAAAATTAATTAATTAAAAAAATTGAGGTGGATTTATTTTTTAATTTTATAATTTTCATGCGCACATTACGTGGCGGTATGTTCACCCACAGAGGCACGAGAAGCTCCCAGGACTGTTAGCACATCAGATATAAACAACACTACTGGCTCTGCCATTAGAGAGAGAGAGAGAGAGAGAGAGAGATGCTGGAGGTGGAAGAGAAGTCAACGTACAACAATGGCGGAACAGGAGGAGTAGTGGAGGTGAATCCCAAGCCGTCCAAAGGGTTGACTTCGAAGGTGATTGATTTAGTTGAGAAGCTGATTGTGAAGTTGATGTATGATTCGTCTAAGCCTCAACATTATCTTTCCGGCAATTTTGCTCCGGTTCCTGAAGAAACTCCTCCCATCCATGAACTCCCTGTCAAAGGACATCTCCCTGTAAGTAACCTTTTCACTGTATCTGTTAACAAGCTCATATGGGTAATCTACAGGTATGTTGTGTTTGTGTTCGTGGACTGTGAGAATTTGTGTGGGCTTATTGTGTATTAGTTCTTCTGTTCTTCTGTTTATTTAGTCTGAGTGAAATCTGGGTCTGTTTTTCTTGCATTATATTTCTGAAATAACAAGTTTTGAGCTGATACTTTCGCATGTAATTTTTCCATCAATTGTTTCGAAATATAGATATGTATGTGTGTGTATGCATATAAGTTGTGTTGACTGTTTTGGGGATGTGAGTTTAGATCTCTTCTTTGGCTGCTGGAAAGCTTGGAAGAGAAATGGCAAATGAGGGGATACAAGAAGTCTTCCTCTTGTTTGTCAAGATATGTTGTTTTCCTGTTTTCATAGAATGAATTCTCTTTTCTTTGCTCAGCTAGTTTAAGGTAGGTGTATTTGGCTCAATTGAATTGATTTTCCTGTTGTGTATGTGTATAGATGTCATTTATATCCATATAAATGCATGTTCATGCACACCTGCATTTAATGATTCAATCTTTGAAGAGTTTCTATCAATGAGATGCTGACATAATGGATATATCTCTTTTCAGGAATGCTTGAATGGGGAGTTTGTTAGAGTTGGTCCGAATCCAAAGTTTGCTCCAGTAGCAGGATACCACTGGTATGTTTTTTCTTTCTTTGTCAAAACATAATTTCTACAATTTTTGCATATTATTTAGTCCTTCCCAAACGAAGATTCAATTACAAATTATTCTTTGTTCAACTCTCTTTGCAGGTTCGATGGAGATGGGTATGTGAACTTTGGCTTTGCTGTGAGAGCATATGCAACAATGCTTGTTCATTTCAAATTTATTGTAGAAACAAAATTTCATTCCTGTTTCTTGTTACTATCCAGATTGGTGTTTTTTATATACTTTTGGTCAATTCAAGCCATTTAGCATCTTATACAGTGATTTCTCCCTCGATAATGATGTATCTTAACATGTTTCTTTGATTTTTTATTGCAGTTTCTGCCAATGATAGTCAGAATATACTCTTGCACATTTTTCTGAACATGCAGCATG